ACTGAGTATTGGGATAAGCTAGGAGTGAAGCTGGGGGAAGAGGCTCCGAGAGCAGAGGATTATGGAACCGGCAGGAAGGGCCTTGGATTGCTGTGGAGAGAAGGCTCGGAGCCCTGACGTGGCTGTGCCCTTGCGCTAGAGTGGAGCTGCTATGACGTGGCGTTGGGGAGGACAGCAGGATGGCAGAGCTTCCACTGTGTGTTTCGTCAGTTGTGACCACACATTATGGCAGTGGCTTTGGAACCAGTTTCACAGGAGTGAAAGATCAAGGGTAAAAAAGGCTCTGTTATTCCGATATTGTGTCAGACCAGGTATAGGTTCTTTTACCTGTTCACCTTCTGCTAAGGGTGTGTTGGTAAATATTGTTATGACCAATCCAATAGATTGACATATAGTATACTTGCTACATATGGTCGCGCAGAAACCAATTCTAGAAATATTAAATAATTTTACCAACTGTCGTATAACAGAAGTGACGAAACCAGCCTAAACCTAAGCCTGTTGCATGCCTGTATCCTTTCTCCTTTTACTGAAGGCTCTGCTTTTCCATTCGATGATCCGATGAATTGGTTGGGGATGCAGAGATCATTGACTGAAGAAAATTTCTTCCAAGAAATGCATTGTCTTAAGACTTCTCTCCCGAGGAATCTGATCAAAATAATCAGTAAAGATTAACCACAGAGAAGAGAAGACATTTAAAGCCAAATCACAATCCAGACAGACTTTTCATTTTTCCTCTTGAGTTGTGTCTAACTCTCTAACATCTTTGACTGAATAACAAAGAGATTATTAGAATGGTGAAGTTTAGACTAAATTATTGACTGACTTGCTATATCCATAAGAACCCATATCAAATTTCTTCTAGCTCTATTCATCAATTCTCCTCCTACGCACTCTGAAGATACGTATTGTCTCTACATTGAGGGGTCTCATTTGTCACTTGTAATTTTTGGGTGAACCCATCGTCTTATGTCTGTATCATCTCAATCTTATCGCTATCTAACCATGATATGACATAATGGAGTATACCTATTACTAACACTCTCTGACTTAAAATATTTAACATCTCGATCTGCTCGCATCTCCAGCGACTCGTAGCCACTCTATCACTTGATGAATGAAATGCTGTGTGGTTCTCACAGAATGTATATGGACATGAGGATGGTTTTAGGCGATAAGTGTCTCTCTCTGATAGCTGTTTTATTTCTCTTATAAGCCTATGGACTCTATGTCCATGCATGTGAGAGAATATGATAGCTTCAATATTTGTAGTGCAGCATTCTCTGACCTATTCTTGTATCATACACTGTTGTCTTAGTCTTTTACAGAGTGATCTCATGTCTCTGTGAAAGCATATCTTCTTTCCCTCTTTTGCACCCATACAACAACACCTAGCATCCTGATCCACATGTATATATCCTTAACTGAAGGAAGTAATTCTTCCTATGTGTCAAAAATGCTATCCACTGTATTTCTTCCAAGCGATGTTAAGGTATACTTTCTGTCTCTTCATCTTAGGTGCAAATAACTCTCGCTCCCTCTACTTCTAATGTGGGAATTAAGTTTCAACTCGAATTCTGCCTTGTATGCTGCGCTAGACGTTCGAAGATCTGTGGGATGGCATCTCTGATTAATAATTCAAAGGAGTAGATGGGTTCCCTTTCTATGTCTGTGAACTAATTAGCGGGAGAAGGGAACTATTACAAAAAAGAACACATAGGGTTATTGAATTACGAGCTCTCCGTTTTCGATTCCGTCTATGTGTTGTATTTATTTATAATGTTTGTATCGTGTTTTTAACAATATTCTCTACGTAAGTTATATGAGCTATTAGGTTACGACAAAGCATAATAATTAAGAGAACCAAATACAATTTGTATAACGGATGCTATGTATTGTAATCACAGTGTGTCCTCTTCTCTCCTATATGCTATTATAGTCAAGTTCTCTTAGGTATCCGTGAGTGGCTTAAAGGCAAGCTGATATTGCACTTGCGTATTACTAGAATAATGTAAGCGAGAGTAAGAAAAAACATATATGTGAGTGTATATTACGGAAGAATGGCTATTGAGTATGCGTGGAATAATGACCCTTAGGGCCCGACATACATAATTCAATCTGTATAGCGGAAAACATTCAATACAAGTACGTAGAATCAAGCACTAGGAGGACCATATCCACTCTTCTTAATATAAAATACGAAAACTATATAGGTGTGTATTATTCGCACATGTCTGTCCTATTCTATCTTGATATATAAACATAAACAGATCCAAGTAGGTGCATGGGTCATAAATCAAGTTTATGAGGTCAACGTCATCAACTATTTTACACATTGTATGAGGAGATTTCGAAGAATATGATATATAGAACTATCATTGCATCAGACTTTCAGTTAATATTCGTGCCTTCCTTGTGATCGGCTGGCTGTGGCATTTCAGGAGGGGAAGAATTGCACCCTGTCTGCGCGGGGGGGGTAACATGAGGAGATGATCGCTCGTGGCTTCTCTAGTAATTGATTAATATTTTTAGCTTATCAGCAGTAACATATCAGTAGAGATATATAGAAACTTAATATCATGATCACTAGAGGGCACTTATAGTGGATTGATTATTGTGATGAGAAAAAGAGTTATTGCTGTCCCACTTTACTATCGCAGTCTGCAGTCTCACAGACCAGCTTGTCTCAGATAAATTTTGCCTTTCCAGGACCATCTCTCTGGTGGGCACAGACACATCTTCAATGACAAGTTTCAGTGCAATGGCACAAATTCCGACAGCAGTACCCAGCAGTCAACCGTTTACTTCTGATATTCTCTTCAGGCAGTTTGCTGCAATAGTAAAGAAACCTCTAAGAACAGCTATCCCTCAGCACCCTAAAATGCAGAATTCTCACCAGTTCCAAAGAATGGATTTTTAGTAAGTTCCACTGACATGGCACACAGCTGGTTTTTGGAAGCGAGTTGCGTCGACACATGCCCTCTATGTGACAGAGACATTTGGAGAACTTACTGTTGCATATCTGAGCTTACTGTCCTTCCATTAAGTCCATGTGTGAGGAGAGCCAGTATTGACTATGAATGGAATTACAAACTGATAAATAATTATCTCATGATCCTAAAAGTATACTGTGTTGGTGTACTACTAAATACCTGAAAACTTCTGCTTTATTATTAATAAGTGAAATGGGATTTTCTGCCTTATCTAGCCATCAAGGTTGTTATAATTTAAAAAGTACCTTTGAGAAGTGTAAAATTCTTATACAAATGTAAAACTTTAATGTTATCTTTCTACACATCTTCTTGCTCCCACTATTGATATGTACTTAATACTTCCTTTAGAAGTATTCTAATATTTTCAATTAAAATCTCATTAGAAGAACCGAGAAGTAATTTCTAGGGAAGTAAAAATATAAAATTTCCCTTGGTAAAATTTTGACTATAGCAAAAGTTTCAATAAAAGGTTATTCCAATTGGCCTCATATTGAAAATTTGAAGATAAACTGCTATTAATACATGCTAAGTAGATTCTTGTTGTTCCACTTCAACATACCTTCTTTGCTATATCTTCTATTAACCCATATTTTAAAATATTTCATTTATCAATAGTAGCTATCATGTAGTAATTCATTTTTCCTAAATTTTTCATCAGAGATAATGCATGTCTTTCTTCAGAAATTGTATTGAATTTGGGACAGCCATTATTTCAGTTGATATAATTCTTATAAAAACAGAAATTTGACATTTAATTTAGCCTGTGTGGTCTTAGAGCAGGTAAATGTATTACTTTTGTTAAGATTTTTGAAATGTTAAGATTTTTGAAATGTTAATACTAGCTTGGAAACTCCTATTATTGGTTTCATGGAGCTCTGGGATTTCAAGAACTTTGGATAGTGCATGTTTTTTCTTTTTACATTATGTATTTACACACAGACACACAAACTATACAATATATAATATACGTATATAAAAATTTATGAATGATCTCCCTGATTCTTCAGTTAGAATTAATCCTTTCTTTTATTTTGCATGTCCGTACCTCCTTTATAGTACTTTTCACAATCTGCCCTCTTTTTTCTCCAGCTTGCATATATATATAACTGCCTTGACACAATGAGATTTGGGTTTGTATTGTTATGGGAACTTAATCTGAGTCATAAGTTGTTTTTCTGCTTTTTTTTTTTGTTTTTTTTAAGACAGGGTCTCACTCTGTCCTTCAGGCCGGGTTACAGTGGCGTTATCATAGCTCACTGCAACCTCAAACTCCTGGGCTCCAGTGATCCTCTGGCTTCAGCCTCCTCAGTAGCTGAGAATACAGGTGCACGCCACTGCACCCACCTAATTTTTTTATTTTTCATAGGGACAGAGTCTGACTGTGTTGCCCAGAATGGTCTCAAATTCCTGGCGATAAGCTATCCTCCAGCTTAGCCTCCTTTGTTGTTAATTTTTTTTTTTTTTTTTTTGAGACAGAGTCTCACTTTTTGTTGTCCAGGCTAGAGTGAGTGCCGTGGCGTCAGCCTAGCTCACAGCAACCTCAAACTCCTGGGCTCAAGCAATCCTCCTGCCTCAGCCTCCTGAGTAGCTGGGACTACAGGCATGTGCCACCATGCCCGGCTAATTTTTTATATACATATCAGTTGGCCAATTAATTTCTTTCTATTTATAGTAGAGGCGGGGTCTCGCTCTTGCTCAGGCTGGTTTTGAACTCCTGACCTTGAGCAATCCGCCCGCCTCGGCCTCCCAGAGAGCTAGGATTACAGGCGTGAGCCACCGCGCCCAGCCCTTTGTTGTTAATTTTTTTGTGTCGCATTTTATATTTAAAAATTCTTTTATTCATTTCAATATGTTGTATGAGGCAATACATTTTTATCAATCGTTTTCCTGCAGAGGCCAGTAGGCTACGTGTGTAAACTTTTATCTTCTTCACCAAAGAAAGCACACGTGAAAGAGCTCAAACCTGCTAGCTCCTAGATAAATGTAATTTTAATAGATCTTATCCTCCTCAGATAGGCATTTCTCCTTGTCCGAGCCCCCATGGCCCTTGCTGGTCCCGTGGGCTGCCGGGAACTCACCGAGGACGGGGAGAGCTCGGCCTCGGGCTTCATGAGCAGCACGCTCTGGTCCACGGCCCGGAGGGCGCAGACCGACTGAGGCGACGCCCTGACTCGCAGGTGGACGGGTGAGCTTGGGAGACTTTGCGCTGGGCTAAAGCTCAAATCCACCTGTGAAATTGGGAAACAAGGTCAGAAAAAGAAATTTGCTGTTTTAACCATGCATTTGCCCGCATTTTCTGAGCGTTCCTCACATTCAGCCCAGAAACACTTTGACTTCAATCGAGGTGGTTGGCGTTGTGTCAACCCCGAGGCTTTTTGTCTCCTACAATTCTCTTTCATTCTCAAGAATGAGTTGAGCCATTATAATAATTTCTAGTTATTCTTAGAAATTACTAATTATGACATGTCATTTTTGACCTTTGATACAAGGTGAGGTGCTCATTAACTGCAGTTGGAACGCGTATGGGTCAAGGTGCTCTTGTGTTTTTCTTTTGGCGCTTTAGTAGTCTTAAAATCTTGCTCATACATTTCCCAACATTTCATCAAAGATGAAGGGAACAAGGTACCCTGAACTGTGACATTTGTTAAGAGACAAGGTTCTAGGAGGGTTGTGAGAGTTGCACACTTGGAGTCGAGACACAGGGCTTCTCCACTGTCATTATCTGGCTCAGTGTCTCTGGGGCATTTGTTTAACCCTTTGGCTCCCATGCTCACAGGTGTACAATAAACGGTCATGACAGCAACTTCTAGTTTGAAATGTTGAAAAGCTTATGATATAAAGCCCTCACCTTGTTGGTCAGACAATTTTCAACGTTATACATTGCAGAATCCCCAATCACTTCCCCGTCAGGTAAAATGGCGTAGATGAGCAACCGAGCGACAGGAGCAATGTCTGACCCCACAGGGACTGACACAGAAAAGTGGCCTTTCACTGGAGCGGAGAGAATGAGAGGAAGCAATCGCAGGTTAGACCTGTCTTCAGGGCTGCCATGAAATTATTCTGCTGTACAAAGCCATTTGAGGAGGCTGGTCCGGTTAATGCCTGTTTCTGGTAGATGATATAATAGATAAAATAGACAGTAGGTGCAATAAATGGATGACTGCAAACTTTACCTTTAGGAGAACTTCATCAAAGCCCCCTTTACTCTCATAAATCCTATACTGTATTGATTTCTCGCCAATTTGAAGCTTTAGCTCTCCCCTAGATAAGGCTCTGATGCTATCTAAGCTTATGGAGACATCCATTTTGCCACCATTCGATCTAGATCTCACACTAGAAGAGGGAAATAGAACCTGAAATTACAGGATGTAATAGGAAGAGTTTAACACATTGTGTTTGTGGTTACATCCTCTTTAACCATTTATGAAGAAAATCTTCTACTTTTTCTCCTTAATGAAATAGTATGCTCCTTTGGAAGTTATTTTTTGATGTCTACATAGATTCTTTAGGAGTTACATTAAGCTTCCCTAAGTCAGCGATGGTGTTTCTATGTTGTTACAAAGAAGTAGCAAAAGAGTAGTTGACTAAAAGTTTTCTACTAATTCATCTTTTAGACACCATTAGACTAGGAGCAACCTTCAGGGTTTGTATTGCTACATATTTGTCCATGGGGAGAGTCCAATTACCCAGTTTAACTCTTTACAAATCATAACTATCTGTAAAGGGCAAATGAGATCTTTATAAAGATAGAGGTGACTCAACACAAGAATGCATTCCAAAACTTTGCCTTTCCTCTTCCCTGTTTTCCAAAACAATTCTCAAATATCTCCCACTTTGAGAAGGATGGTCTAAGAATATTTATAATTTAAAAAATTTGGAATATGTGTAGATTGTATATGACAACTTTTAATAATCAAAACAGAACATGCTGAAGAAAAAAACCCCAGATATTTGATCAAGGATGGAAAAAAGAAACATTATTCCTTTCCCTCCCTCCCTCAAAAACTTCTTTACTGTGATTGGATGGAAATGTTCTCTCTTTACTTGAAAGTGTTCCTGGTATTTCTGTAGTGAAAGGCTGGATGTGTCAGAATGGGGCAACAATGTGCTTATGGAAGTACTCACTATCTCCCTGTTCCACAGGCAGTACATGAGTTCCAGTTCGGACAATGCCTCCCTTTGCCATTATCTGCAAAAAAAGGGAAACAAAAGAAATTTAAGGTGCCTGACAGAGATTTTATTCCAGTGTTGCTTTATTGAGCCCCTGCTAGTAATGATTAGTCACAAGACAAGTCATACCTTTAAAAGAAACATGCATATGAAGTCAAAATGGTGATGCCTCACAGAGCTTCATAATTACTCGCCCCCCGCAGAGAGGTTTTATCTACAGATAAATCAATGCAGTGACCTCCCTTCTCACCAGATAATAGAAGACAAGCTCCTTCAGCTCCTGCAGGGCCTGTGCATTCAGAATATAATCTGCCTGGACTGCCTGAGTTTGGCCGCAGGGCAGTTCACCAGGCATGGTCTCGAGCTGCACAAAGCTCTTGCTGACGGAGTATACGAGCTTAGCAGTGTGATGAGCCTCTGCATTTTCCTCTGACACACATTGGTTGTCATCACAGACATCTTGATTCTTGTGTTTGACCTAGTGAATTAAGAAAACAATGTTATTTTATGGATTGTATGTCATAAAGAATAAATGTACTCATGAAAATACATAAGTTGACTATTCTACCTTAACTAGAAATATTTTTCTCCACAATAAAAAGTGAGAGAAGGGCTCCTTATTTTATGTAACTACATCAAATGAGGCATGATTTGTGCTTTTACACTGCAGAGGCTGCCAGGGGTGGGATTTACATTTCTGAAGAGCATAAAAGGAGGCTTCCTTTGATCTGATTAGCTTGCTTGAAATTTCTTTGTCCACTTCACTTATGTAGATAGAGACCCTGGAGCTATGAAACCTCATGGAGGAGAGTAAATCATCTTGAGAAACTGCTCCAGAAGCTAGCTGTCTCTTTTATGATGGTTTGAAATGGGTATTATGAATGAATGAAATATTGCAACCTTAGGGATCTGAGAAAACATTGGTAAAAAGCATCGTTTTAAGAGCTGAGTTGGTGAATTAGCTGAAATCTACTTCTCCTGGGGTGATTATTTTTCCTGCTTCCTTCCTGCCATTCTGGATTCTTATGCCTCAGAGGCCCTATTGGGTTGTATTTTCAACTTTCCTTCATGTAGAAGTTGGTCCTTAACTCTTTTAAGGCTTCCCCTACCGTCATCCACAGCTGCCAAATCGAATGAGTGCATCCTTGTTGTGCCCGCAAAACTCTTTGTTCATATCTCAATATATGCTCTAGTGATAACATATATATGACCACCAAAAAGAGGGAGCATCTAAAGATAATATTTTCATTGTCAGGACTAGCACAGTGCCGGGCACATAGTAAGCATTCAAGACACTTCTTGATTGATAAGTGAATAAATATTCAAATTGAGTCATTAGAGATATGGGATATTTTACCCTCTATCTAAAGCTAAATTAATAAAATATATTATTTATTTTGTCTTTATACCAAACGAGGGAGGGTTTTTCTAGTATTGTGATATGTAATACATAGCGTAGATATGTGTATCTATAAACATACACCTATATTTCTATTGATGAATAGAAGACTGTACGCTATACAAAACAAGTTATATGGATATAGATGGGTCATCCAGAGAAAATTAGAAAGCAAGACAAAAACACTGTAAAACAATAATTTATGGCTTATATATTTTTGAAACTAAATGCTAATTATGTTAAAATTGGCTTTTATAATAAAAGTATTTAACAGTTAATGGGCAGTTACTAAGTACTTTAACATGTATTATTTCATTTAATCTTCATAACAACCCCAAGAGTTAGGTAGTAATATTGTACCCAATTTACAGGTAAGGAAATTAAATATAGAGGTTTTACTTATTTTCCCTTAATATAGAGTAGAGTCAGTATTTTTAATCACTGATTTTGATTCTGGAACTTACACTTTTCAAAAGTTGTGATAAAAACAAAACATAAAATTACCATCTTCATAATTTCTAAATATACAGTTTGATAGCATATCTGTTGTGCAACATAGAACTTTCATTTTGCAAGGCTGAATCTTTATACCCATTAAACAGCAAATCCATATTTCTTTTACTCCCCAGCCTCTGGAAACCAGCATTCTATTTTCTGTATCTACAATTTTGACTACTTAAGAACCTCATATAAGAAGAATCATATGGCATTTGTCTCTTTGTGACTACCTTATTTCACTAAGCACAATATCCTCAAGGATCATCCATGTTGTAGCACATGATAGGATTTCCTTCCCTTTTAAGGCTGAATAATGTTTCATTGTATGTATATCCCATGTTTTGGTTACTCATCTGTTGGTGGAGATTTGGGTAGCTTCCCTCTCTTGGCTATTGTGAATAGTGCTGCAATGAACATGGGTGTGCAAATATCTCTTCCAGACTCTGCTTTCAATTCTTTGGTAAGGTTGCAGGATCATATAGTAATTCCATTTTTAATTATGAGAAACTGCTATACTGTTTTCCATAGTGGTTGCACCATTTTCAATTCCTATCAGCATTGCTAAAGTAGAACTCATAATTTTAGCCATACCAAAATACTGCCTCTCTTTCATGAACTCATAAAAAGTTGATATTAAATTGGTTTCTAATTGCTAGTTTTTTCTCTCTCCGTAGGTCTAAACAAAATTTGGAAATTTCATCACTTTTTAAGTTGCAACCATGTTTTCAAGGCTACCTCATGCCATTGGTAACTTGTTTCTAACTTACATGTACAGTAAGAGAGATGCCCATAACACTGGTGGTGTTGATGGAGAATGGTGCCAGGCCATTCTCATCTGTGGTAGCATTGAATTTATAGACAGATCCATGTGCTGTGATGAAGACGGTTTTATTTGGCATAGGGACACCTTTCCCATCCACTAGGCGCACCTGAAAAGTAAAAGCTGTGGGTCGGTTATATAGATAATAACTAATAGGCACCCAACATATTCATTTTCTCACAAATATTTTTTTGAGTGCCTCTTACATGTTAAATACAGTTCGAGGCATTGAGGATATAGCATTGTATAAAACAAAGTTCTTTTCATCACTGTCTACTAAAAGAGATAGATGCTAAGTGAATATATAAATAAAATACACTAATTTAGTCGTAATCAATCCTAAGAAGAAAAATATAGCAGTTTGAAGGGATAGAGATAAATAGGAATAAAAATGGGGATGACCTGAAAAGGATGTATTTTGGATATTTTGGAAATACTGTGCATTACGTATAACTCTTAGAGAGTCACAGAGCACAAAAGTAATACAGTAACGAAAATTTTAATACTTTAGTCACATTTATTTGAGCCCCAAACACTTATTTGGGGGTGGACCATTAACTTCCTATGGATTAGTGTCTTGGAGCACTGCATACATGCACAAGTAAGCAACTGCTAAAACAGTGTGCATCTCTAGTTGTGCTATAATATATGGTGTCTGCTTCTCAACCTGCACGTTCAATCCTTTGGAAGTCTGGCAGATTTTATGACACACCTCCCATGTGAAAAATGTAAAACTGAAAAGAGTCACACAGTATCAAATAGGGCCCAAATGCCAAATACTGCTAATATTGAACTCAGCAGATGAATAGCCCATTCAGATTGTAAAGACAAATGTTCTTTTTCATTATGAGTTACTTTTGGTAGTAGGAAGTACGATCGTCCGACTTGCATTAGTATTTATAGCTGATTAACCAAATCTACGTTTGCCAGTGAGATGTTGGCTGCACTCACAAAGATCAGAATGCACACAAAATTCTGATTCTCTTCTAGGGAGAGTGTCTTATGATAAATAGGATGGTTATTTAATAGAAATGAAATATAAAAAGGTACAATGTACCTCTGAGCAATTTAAACTTGGACCTCACTTGCATTTTAGGAAGTGGCCAAAGTTTCTGAAAATGTTTTGCTGTCATAACATAATCAAGCCCTCTAAAATATGCCCCACTTTGTGAGTTTAGTCTATCATTTATACCCTCCATGGCTGAAATCCTGAAACATTTCTATCAGGAACATGACACACGGTTATTGCCCATTGAGGAGCCCACAGCTGCCATTCCAGACTTCTGCAATCAGAAAGGTCCATTTGCACATCTGCTTACGATAGAAAAACCACAATGGAAGATTTATTGTAGATTTGTGTGCAAATTTATAAGTTAAAAATCTGGAAACCTTAAATGGCAATATTTTACCCTCAGGTTTACTGTTTTAAAAATAAACTTGTCATTATAGAAAAGTAATATAAGTAATAGAAAAGTAATACAACCCACAAAAGAAACACTAGGTATAGTGGAATCTTTACTACTTGAAAATAAAAATTAAAGCCACCTGCCTACACATTTCCTTACAAAGTTAGTGTTAGAAGGATAGTATAAATGGTCAACATAAAATTTGAGATTCATATGAGAAAATGTCTTGAAAACTGAGTCTGCATAGTAAACCATGAAAAGGAAATTGAGTGATATCATATAAAACTGTTCCAAAAGTGATTAAAAAATCCTACTAATTTCAATGGAGCTTTAGAATAATTTTATACATTTCATATACAAATTTACACAGCAACAAATCTATTTCTATGTAGCTTTATATCTTCGGTTATATTAATTGATAACATTAATCAGCTATGGTTTCAGCAGAAACTGTACCTATTGTGCTAATTAGGCGACAATACATGCGTTTACCAGTGAACTGTAAAATACTCCACCTGTCCAAAGAAAGGGATCCCTTTTCTAAAGTAAGGGTTCACTTTCACAAATGAGAGTTTGGTTATGGCTCTCGTGATTTCAGTGGATCCTCTTCCAGTTAATTCCACTCCTAAAAAAGAAGAAAGAAAACAAAGTTGTTTTTGGAAGTGTGATGTTCCTGAACTTCTTATACTACCTTCTCCTTTACAGTTCATAATTTGGCTAAAAAGTTACATCAACGTCCATTGTTTTTTCTCCCATACCATGTGGTATACAAACCTGTTCCTTCTTCTTTGATATTGGCCTCCACATCCAGTTTCATTTGATACCCTTCCCTCTTCATCTGGAAGACCTTGGTGTTTACTTGCTGAGAGACGCAGCCGCGGCTGTTCAGCTAAGAGGGAAGAAAAAAAAATAAAAAACATAGCATATATTATTCTGCACAGATCAGTGGTCAGTTAATCTGATGGGATTCTTTTTTTCTCATGAGATTGTTTTTGAGACAACATAATAGGTGTTTTCTATGATGAGGACACAATACTTTTTCTCTAGGGAGTATACATTATCACATTTCAGAGCAATATCTCATTTGTTGTGACAGGTGTATACCTGGCAGGTGTATTCCTGAGTATCTGAAATTCCTTAGAGAGGATGAGATAGAAATTCCTTAAACATTTTTGGGTAATCTTTTTATTGATGTATAATATTTGTACATATTTTGGGGGTATATGTGATATTTTGTTGTAAGAGTAGACTGTGTAATGATCAAGTCAGTTTATTTAGGATGTCCATCACCTGAGAACTTATCATTTTTAATTGTTGGGAACATTTTAAGTCCTGTCTACTAGGTATTTTGAAATATACAATACATTGTTATTAACTATAGTCACGCTACTCTGTTATCAACCATTAGAACTAATTCCTCATCAAAGTCTGCTAGTTCCTCCTCCTGTGATATACAGGTGTGGTTGGGAGTGACCACTTATCTGGGGACTGTTCTGTACCCTGCCCCCTGGAGTCTAGATGAGGCCATGTGAAAGGTTCTTGCTCACAGAAAGAGAGCAGAACTGATGTTCTAACCAGCCAAGGCAATTAGGAGGTATATGTTTTTTTCTTCTTCCTTTGTAGAAGTTGATGCCCAAGGAGGCTTTGGATAGCTCTACATCTATTATTCTGGAACATTCACAATGGACAATTACAGGAAATAATTTCTATTTTGCTAAGTTAATGATTTTTTAAAATTACAATACAACAAATGCTGGCGAGGATGCGGAGAGACAGGAACACTCTTACACTGCTGGTGGGTCTGCAAATTAGTGCAACCTTTGTGGAAAAGAATTTGGAGATTCCTCAAACAACTAAAAATAGAAATAGCATTTGACCCAGCAATAGCATTGTTGGGCATCTATCCAAAAGAACACAAGTCACTCTATTATAAAGACATCTGCACCCGAATGTTTATAGCAGCACAATTCACTACTGCACGGACATGGAAACTACCCAAGTGCCCGTCAACTCATGAATGGATAACTAAAATGTGGTATATACTCACAATGGAGTGGTATATACTCACAATGGAATATTACTCAATCCTAAGAAACGATAGTGAACTAGCACCGTTTATGCTATCGCGGATTAAGCTTAAGCCTGTAATACAAAGCGAGACGACACAAGACCTGGAAAATGGGCTACACATCACATCTACTCGCCATCAAATTGGTACTGACAGCCTAAAACTATGGTGTTCAAATAATTGTAGTGTTCAACAGGGATCTGAGGGGGGAGACCCACATCTTAAGGATGTAATGAGCATTGTAGGGGCGGGGAAAGGATTACCTCTATCCCTTTTTAGGGAGATGCAAAGAAACACACTGTAACCAAAATGTCTAAAAAAAATTTTTTTTTGTTAATGGGAGATGAACAGGTGGAAGGGGGGAGATCGGGAAGGGTACGCACTTTCATGGTGGGTGCAGGGCGCACCACTTGAAGACTGGACACGCTTGAAACGCTGGCAGAGTGGGGTGGGGAGGGGGGCAGGGGCAAGATATGTAACTCTAACAATATTTGTACCCACAGAATTTGGGAAAAAATAAATAAATTAATTTAAAAAATTACAATAGCTGGTATGGAATTCTCTTCCAGGTTGTTCTCTTCCCGAGTTAGCACCATGTTGCAACTCACTGCTTGTCAACAACGCCTTTATTATTATTTCCTAAGAGGAAGAGTTTTCAACCTACTTGTTGACTGAATGTCTTGCAGAGCGCCTGTGACTCTTCGCCATAGCAGGTGGAAGGGTTATTACACTTTCTGCAGATGCTCACAGTCACATGTCCTGGGACAGGCTTCCCATATGTGTATCTGTCATGAGAACATTCCCAAATGAATCAAAGCAGACATTGAACATCATCCCCATGTTCTACCTATTTATATTTAAATTTCCCCTTTAACTAATAGCACATTCCCCCCTCTGTTCTTCCCTCTGCTCTCTGCAGGGATCACAGAGTATTGAGGGCAAGAGTCACTAATCTCTTTTCTCTTTTAAAAATCTCCATTGCAAAATGCTAAAATTTACTACATTCTTGTTTTATCATATCTTTTTCTAAGTTGATTGCTTTCCAACTTTATCTTGGAAAATGTCTTTCTTAATATAAAAGCTAAACCTGTCCTTAAGAGAAAAACATCTCTATACCTGTGACACACCACTTTGGTTATAATAGCCTTGTAGCTAATTTGAAGTTAGGTGATATAATGCCTCCAGATTTGTTCTTTTTTCATAAGATTGTTTTGACTATTCATCTTATTTTGTGGTTCCATATGAAGCTTAGGATTAATATATCTAGTTCTGTGGAAAATGACATTGGTATTTTGATGGGAATTGCATTGAATCTGTAAGTCACTTCAAGCAGTATAGACATTTTAACAATGTTGATTCTTGCAATTCCTGAGAGTGGGATGTTTTTCCCTTTGCTTGTGTTATGTATGTTTTCTTTCATCGGTGTTTGTAGTTGTCCTCCTTGTAGAGATCCTTACTTCCTTGGTTAGGTATATTCATCATATTTTCTCTGTAGGTATTGTGAATGATATTGATTCCTTTAGTTGGCTCTCAACTAGACTGTTATGAATATATAGTAATGCTATAATTTTGTGTATATTTATTTTGTAACCCTTTGCTGAATTTATTTATCAATTCCAGGAGCCTTTTGGGAGAGTATTTAGGTTAATCTAGACCCAAGATCATATGATTGGCAAACAGGGATAGTTTGACCTCCTCTTTCCCAATTTGGATACCCTTTCTTTCTTTCTTTTCCCTGATTGCTCTGGGTAAGACTTCCAGTACTATGTTGAATAGAAGTGGTGACAGTATACTTCCTTGTCTTATCCCAGTTCATAGGGAGAATGCTTTCAACTTTTCTCCTTTCAGTATCTTGCCTTGGTTTATGAGTGGAAAAAGAAAATGTGACATATACACACACACACACACACACACACACACACACACAAACCATGGAGTACTACTTAACCATACAAAGGAATGAAATAATGCCTTTTGTAGAAACTTGAATGGAAATGGAGAACATTATCCTAAGCAAAGTATTCCAGGAATGGAAAAACAAACTCATGTTCTCACTAAAAAGTGGGTGCTAAACTATGGGTATATACAGTTATATAGTGGTATAAAGAACATTGCAAACTAAAAAGGGGTAAAAGTGGGAGTGGGTTGAGGGATATACACATACCTATTGGGTACAACATACACTACTCTGGTGACAGGCACATTATAAGCCCTGACTCCAGTATTATTCAGTTCATTCATGTAACAAAAACACTTATAACCTCCTAATATTTTGACATAAAAAAGAGAAAAATACCAACTAAACAACAACAACAAAAAAACAATAAAGAGAAGAAACAAATACCCTAAGGCTACCTAGGAATACAAACTGTTAATATGATAGCGTCTCTGCTTCCATTGTCTTTTCGCCATGTACAGCAGTCTTTAGTTATATCAAGTTTTGCTTGCTTACTTTTTACAAAAATGGAATTGACCCACAAATATGTCATAGAGGATCACTGTGTTTCCTTCCCTATTTGAAATGACCTCTATATCTCTATTTGCAAGAGCATTTGCTCATCACCAGTTGTGTGGGACTAGGAACTTGGCCATTGCTCTGAGACAGCCTGAGGCAGGGTTCCAGCTGAGCCATATGTGCATTACATATGTTGTCTTTAGGCAGGAATGGTTTCTTCACTGTCTGCTCTTCCTGTGAATGCTACTTCTGGGATACCAGGGGTAGGAGCAAAAGACTTCAGAAACATGAATTTTTAAGTCTTGAAGAGACCATACTGAGAGGTCATGTCAAGTCCCCTCAGTAAAAATGGCAGTGCAGAGAGATATGTGACATGCCTTAGACCGAAGAGTTAGATGGGATTTTATTATATGCCTGTCTCTACGAATTCTAAATCTAGGCCATTTTCTGACAATACGTGCAAGTGATCTATTGATGATTGAATTTCCTCTTTAACCACATGTGGATCACCTCTCTAATATGTGTGTGTTCGCTTCTGTTTAAGAGAAAGCCACTATCCTTCAGCACTATCCTGTTTTGCTTTTGCTTTGGTGCATGTGTGCAGCAGTTTCATCATTTTCAGAATCCATCCTAGTAGTCTAGCCTCTGTAGAAACAGTTCCTCACCTCCGAAAGTTATAGTAATACTTATAAGGATATGAAAGAAAATGAGAAGGAAAAATAGAAAAGCAAAAGAAGAACATTCTACAGACGGAGATGTTCCCAAAATAAAATATTTGTGTTGCCACTGCTCCTAGAGAAACTAGCCAAAATATCCCAAATCATGAGTCTCTTTTAAATAGTTTTCTTCAAAATATGAAAAACAATCTACTTACAGGCCACACACTGACACATTCATCTCTTCTTCCAAGATGGTGATTACCTTTGGCATTATCACTTGCACTTCGAACTTGGGAAGCACTGTTGATAGCAATAAAGAAAGCTGGTGATTAGTTTTCAATTTTGGAGGCATTAATATTTTCAGATTTTTTGTACTAATTTCTTAATTCTATTTTAGGTGTCTGAAAAGGAAGGTACTCTCCAATATAACCATATCCACTCCTGTAGATTGGATGTTTGTTACCCCAAACTTCATGTTGAAATTTGATCCCAGTGTTGGAGGGTAGGGGCCTAATGGGAGGTATTCAGGTCATGGGGATGGACACCTCATGAATAGATTGGGGTGGATGAGTGATTTCTCTATTTGTTTCCACAATAGCTTGTTGTTAAAAAGAGCATGGCACCTTCCCTCTTGCTCTCTCTGGCTTCCTCTCTTGCCATGTGATCTCTGCATATGCCAGCTCCCCTTTTGCTGCCTGCTGTGAGTAGAAGCAGCCTGAGGCTTTTACCAGATGCCCAGTCTTCCAGCCAGCAGAATCATGAGCCAAATAAACCTCTTTTCTTTACGAATTATTCAGCCTCATATATTGCTTTATAGGAACACTAACTTGATTAAGACATCTACCTTACGCTTTAAAGGAGATTTTGGTTGAGGGATTATGACAGATCTTTAATTATAATATCCTTAATGAGTTATCGAAGACTCCACTAAAATAAGGATTGCTATACCTCTTAGAGTATTAATTATTGCTACAAAAATAACCAAGTTACATGAAGTCCTATTCTCAAATCCTTACTGTCCTCATTAGATTTAGATATAGTTTTAGATAGTAAATTTAGATATTAGACTATATATCTATATTTAGATATAGTTAATTCTACTGCAAGCCCAATGTCACCCATGGGGAAGGGAAAGACTCCAAAATAAGCTCAAATTCTGAACCTTAGAGGCTTAACTACGAAAAAAAAGTGTGCATGATGTTCCATTATCCATACCAAATTCCTCCACCGTGAAAGGATGCTCTACGTTTCCACCTGATTGTTTCTGTACCACCACCTTGTAGGAGCCCAGAAGGGGCTCTGATGAGAGGGCAAAGGACAATTGCGTGAGGCCGCTCTCTAACTGGAGACTCTGCCATTGTGCGATGCGATTTCTTTTGGGGTCCTATGGATAAATTCATTATCACTTACAAACGCATCTAGATCATTAGCGACAATAAAAGAAAGGCAAAAAACCTGCTATGTTTACCACAAAGAAGACAAATGGGGTCATGGTGAGGGGCAAGGAGGGGAATGAGTTATAACCGTCCAATCCTAGGTGAGTCTGAAGGCTTCTCCCTCAATGCCACATTTCTGATATATTGTAAGAACCTCTCAAATAAGAACATTTTCCATGAACTTATTGCCTTCATTCCAATTACAGAATGTTTCAAGTTGCTTACCTGAATGTATACTAGTGGAATCTGAAAGGAGAAAGCAAAAAAGGAGTTTATAATTGTTCTCAAATATTCCAAAATCCTTTTTATAAGCAAAGCAGCTTTGTGTAGAATAACTCTCTCTATAGTAAAACACAAAAGATTCCAGATTAACTATTAAAGAACTTTTAATTCATCTATTTTCAGCAATTAATACATAATATTAAGTACTGATCAGATCATCAGAAACAAATATATATATATACACTGCCATTCACTTTGAATGGGATTTATTAACATTACTTAAGTACATATAATGAATTTTAGTGAAGAGCATTCTTTTTTCTTTTTTATTTTTTGAGACAGAGTCTCACTATGTTGCTGGGCTAGAGTGCCATGGCATCAGCCTAGCTTGTAGCAATCTGAAACCTCTGGACTTAAGTGATCCTCCTGCCTCAGCCTTCTGAGTAGCTGGGATTACAGGCATGTGCCACCATGCCCTGCAAATTGTTTCTATATATTTTTAGTTGTCTAGCTAATTTCTTTCTATTTTTTTTAGTAGAGATGTGGTCTCACTCTTTCTCAAGCTGGTTTTGAACTCCTGACCTTGAGTGATCCTGCTGCCTTGGTCTCCCAGATTGCCAGAGAAGAACTTTCTTTTGCCATGCAGTTATACAGATCAAGAAAGAAACATAGAACTGTAAGCCACCATGCTCAGATGAATGGGTGATAGAAATTTTAGGTACTTCTAAGAATGAGGAAGAATGGGAATAGGTCCTCTGCCTTCAATGCTTATTCATTTTTAAAACTAATAGTTATTAAGTATCTACTCATGTGCTCTGCATCATTCTAGGTGCTGAGAATATAGCAATGCGCTAAAAAACAATATGTCTGTTTTAATGAAACTTACATTATAATACACATGAACAAATGGGAAGAAAACCTTTTGTGTACATCTCTCAGGTGGTAGTAAATGCCAAGAAGAAAATAATGCTGGCTTAAGCTGACAGAGTGATGGATGCGGCGTTTGATTTTAGAGAGAGGAGTGAGAATAGAAGCTGGCAGCTCACTTTCAATGAATGTTACTGCAATGATCTTGTTTAGAGATGATATTGACCAGGAATAGGTTGTGGCAATTCAGGTGGTAAGAAGTAGTCTGGAGATGTTTTGAGTCAACATGATTTTCTGGTGAAGTGGACGTGGATGTGGGAGAGAGAAGGAAGGATTGTAACACAATCTCTTGCTTTAGGAGCTAGAAGAGAAGAATTGCCTCTTTTGGAGATAAGAGAAGGTGGCAGAGGACTAGATTTGGGAGAGCAAAAGGAAGACTTTTGCTTGATGTCTGCATTATAATACAAACAATTCTCTTTTTTTTTTATCACAAATATCAAAGGTTAATCTTGATTACCCTCAATCAAACAAATTTATTACCCTCATATTCCTTTATAGCAGAGGTTTAGGTAGGAGTATTTACAAAAAGTCTAAATCTCTGAAAAGTTATGTAAATTTAGGTCCTCTGGTGGTTTATCTGTGTCTATTATTTAGTGTATCTTTCTAATATCCTTAACTGAGAACTATCTAAAGAGTAAGTTTAATTGTGTGAACACAACTGAGTAATAGTGCAAGAGACAGAAAGAGTTACCTACTCTCTTGACCTGGGATAACATGGTGAATGAGGAATTTGTGGCCCCGTAATGCCAGGATTAGTGGTGGTGTTGCCTGATTTGTCCTCTCCCTGGTCCTCCCTGCGACTCTAAAAGTAGGCTCCCGGCCATTATACACACAATAATAATTTTATGTAGATAACAGGAGACTCACCAACTCATTCACGGGGTGAAAATCTTCATCCAATGAGACAACACGAAATTTCACTGAAACAGAAATATTTTCCATGAGCCCCCAAACCCTAAACTAGGCCTAGTGGCTGGTAAGAAACGCAATAAAGGAACCAAGATTATAGGAGCTTGGGGAATATCCAGGGAAGGAAGGTCTTTCTCTTGGAAGTTGCTCAGGCTTCTCCATACCTGTCTGCTTTGGTTTGTAGATAGGTTTGTCTGTCTGGACAAATACCAGACTCTCTTTGTTTTTAACCATCACTGTGGTCCGGCTGCTGAATTGCTGGGTTGATCCTTTTACCTGGACGGTGAGGAACATCACCTCCTGACTGGACGAAGACCGCGGGATCTGCAATGCAGCAGAGATGCTGAGAGCCCATTCAGCCTCCCAAGCCCCCTCCGCTATTCTCTGTTCCACTCCTCCCCGAGATCCTGCCCTGATTTCACTCCTGCCGTCTCAGCAGGGAAAGCTGGCATGGGGGGAATGGCTCTTGCTGTTTTACAAATGGGAAGCCAGAACACAGGTGGAGGAAAATACTTCAGTAAGAGAGGTTATAACTGAGACTCACATGTTCCTATAGCCCAGAAAATAGAGTCTTGATTCAAGTATACGCTGAGCTTTGCCAAGTCGATGTTATATGCCAAAAGGGCACGGGAGAAGCATGTCTCAAGGCTATAAAAAATTATATATTTAATTGGCACTAGGTGTAAACCTCTCACATATGGGCCACTCTTAAGAGATACTAGGCATTTTCTTGGAGTAATTTCTATGATTTTTACTCTTAGGGTGTGGAGTCATATGTTCTTCTCAGCCCACAAGTGGCAGCTCATGTTGATTCTGGGCCTAGTTTGCTTTATTAATGTTTTCTACACTTTTATTAATAATTTTAAGGAGTCATCTTTTTTCTTTGTTTAGTGCATATTATCTTTTGTGTTCTTTCTGGCTAATAGGGTTTTATTTTATCATTAAGTTGATCCATAAATTGCTTTTATTTATTTATTTATTTGAGACAGGATCTTGCCCTGCCACCCAAGCAGAGCACAGTGGCACAATCATAGCTCACAACAACCTCAAATCCCTGGGCTCAAGCAATCCTCCTGTCTCACCATCACTGAGTAGTTGGGATTATAGGCTCAAGCCACCATGCCCAGCTAATTAAAAAAATTTTTTTTTGTAGATATGGGGTCTTACTGTGTTACCCATGATGTTCTCACGCTTGTGGCCTCAAGTGATGCTCCTGTGTTGGCCTCCCAAAATGCTGGGATTACAGGTGTGAGCCACCCAGCTCTGCTGCATTGCTTTTTAATTTCTATGCTTTGTTGCTGCATTTGAATTCCTTCTTGAAGTTCTTACTAGCCTCCCAAAGCCTTATCTTGACTGAATACTGGATCCCTAAGACCTTGACCAACACAGCTGAATACAGAAATTCAAGCGGCCACACTCACGGTGAAGGAGACACAGTGGAATAAGTCCTTCTCCGCCACCAGGTCAGTGAAGAGGCTCCTGTTTCCCCTGAGAGACTCCAAGGAAGCACGTACGGTGACTGTCTCATTCAGGTAGCTCAGAAGGACACAGCCCTTCTCAGGGGTCTCAGTGTGCAGCAGGGAGGGGACCAGCACCATGTAGTGTCTGGGAGAGCGCAGTCGGGGAGAGAGGAGGGAAAGAAGAGAGGCACCGCTGTCAACAGCACTGTTTTCCATATAATTGCTGTTATCATCATCAGTTCTGAGAGAAGACAGATTGATGAGCATGAAACTCAGCTGTTGAATGGCACGCATAAGAATTATTTCTCCTTTCCATCACATGCCATGGAAGTGAACATTTTGTTTGCGGTGGGTCTTGAGAGAATAAAATTTGTAGGCATACTTCATTTTAAGGAATCCTAAGACATGGGCATCTGAGTTCAAATAAAAAACATGCTAGTTACATTTATTTATGTGATTTCTTTTGCCTTAGGATTGCTGTAAAAAGCAAGCAAGCCCTCAGGCATGTGAACACTGAAAAGCCAATCAAACTATAAAACTTCTCTTAAAAGAGAAATAAATATGTATATATACATATAATTCAACTACTCTGTCAAATTGTATGGCAAGTACTTGCTTCTACTTCACAAATATGGAATCTAAGCCTCAAAGAAATGAGTCATTAGTTTAAAGTCTCAGTTGTGGTTAGCAAGTCATACAGTCTTAGAGCGTTACCTAAACGTGGATGTTTGCATTTTAAATATTTGCCTTTTGACTCCTGTTTAGACAATGGCTCCATCCGAAAATGGCCCTCTGGTGATTGAACTTAGATCTTGCTAAATCATGAGCAGGACAGAAACTTTCTCAGTATCCTGATATAGAATTTAAGATGGACTCTGAAGGTTTTAAATATTTTTGCTCACAAAACTCCTAAAATAATTTTTAGAACATCGTGCTCCTACATGTTTTTAAGTAAGCCACTATTTTTAAAACTATAGTTTTAATTAATTGCAAAAGATCTTATTTTTGATGCTATATTAAATTAAACTTTGATTACTTTTATCAGTTTCCCATGGAATCTTAAATATTATAGTGATAAGATACCTATTATCACCTACTTAAAAATATTAATAAGTTCTTTTTGTAATGGCCAATTTTTTAACATCTTTCATTTTTTTTCCTCCTTTAACTTGAATTTCCATGCCTCTTATCATATGGAAGTTTATACTATGATTTTCATGCTTCAAAATATTTTATGGATCACTCTTACGTTTTTGCTAACAACTATATGTGCATATATATGCAATTTTAGAGATGGGTAGATAAATTTAGCTTTAACTCCTCTTATAAACACAATGTGACAGTACATTTGTAAATATTAGACATTTTCTTCTATTGAATTATTTATAAAAGTGCTTGTATACAACTGATCAAAACAAATAAATACATTACAAAACATGTTTCATGAATATTAGATATAAAATTAAAATTAGAATAATTCTGAAGCACATCTTTAGAGAGAATGATGAGCTGTTTTTTTTTTTTTCCTGTGAATTTCTGTATCCATGGATGAGTATCCCTTATTGCAAGAATTAAATAAGGTCTAACAGTAATTTTGTTACTATTCATGATTTGTGTAGATTTAAGTCCTGAGAAGAATTATTTACATAAAAGTATAAATGGCAGGTAAAACAACAGTATTATTGCCACCACTTATAAATTCTTCTGCATTACATGCCTAAATTCACCCACTACCCTATTAGCAAGAGTTGCTTCTAATCACTTATCAGCTGGTATTTCCTTTAGTTTCTCCTTCAGTTTTGTTGAAACAAAGAATTCATCACCACCTAATCTACAAAAGGATTTTCTCTCTTGTCATGAGAGTTCTTTGCTTTCTCAACACCAATGCCAGTATTTCACATTGTTCCTTTATGTGGCACTCTGGAGATTTTTATACTCCAGGACAATGATTCATGCTAAGATATGGTTGAGGGAGAAGATTCTCTTTATTTTATAAAATAGAATACTCGTAATTAAGAAAGGGGGTTGGTAAGAAAGGACAAATAAATAGCATGGTCTCAAGCAGAGCAATATGAATACAAAGATCTGAAAATTCCTTCCCTTGAAAAGAAGTTTGAATTTCTGATGCCCCTTAGAAAGGCATTGCATATCACCAGGAAATTTAGAGATTCAGAGATCCAGAGAGCTGGAGAAAAGTGATTGTAAGTGAAGAATGAACAAACCAGATTTACAAACTCTCCTGGTTGGAAGGAAACTTAGAGATGAAGGAGGAGACAGTTTCACAGGAAAGACAGATGAATGATACAAAGCAGATTCTGAAATAAAGGAAAGGACTCTTTAAGTTCATGCTTCGTGTTCTGTGTGGAACTCACGGTTTTGCAGAGCCCGAGGCTTCTGTGGGCAGGAGGACCAGGAGGAGAAGAACAAGACTTGAATGGAGGAGTCTGTTCTTCTCCATGCTGCAGGCAGAAGGGACCGGAGGAGATCAGCCTGTATGTACCCTATTCCCTACAATGGGTCTGGTGCTAAACACTCCCCAGAGCACCTGGGCTTTATACTGCAATCTGTGCAAACAGGAAGTTCCACCCCCACAAGGTTGCTAAACAAAGTTGAGGTCTCTGAACATTCTGTGAAAGGGTCATTGATAACCTGTTTATAGTCAAAGTTAATTCCTGGTGGGCTAAATAGAATTCCGGAGGGATAAAATCACATTCCCGTTAGTGCTCACTTTCTCTGGGTTTTACTGTAAAGCAGCAGATCAGCCTATCAACTCTCCTCTCTCTCACTCCCTCACAGCCCCCCACAATGCCTTTTATGGTTCTTCTCACATCTCTTGTATGAACGGTTGGCCAGGGAGACTACAATTGAGCAACACCGGGCAGGCTCAAAATAGGTATTTCCCTGCAAGTCAGTGTGCCTCCGTTAGACATGCTTACCTTAAATGTTGAAGCCCTTTCTGAATTCAGTGGTCCTGCATGACAATGGTATTGGATTAAGCCAGTAGGTTTTGACTATAGGGATATTACTGGATTGCAGATGAAGAGCCAGGCCCTGGAAGAATGAGAATGGAAAATATTTTCCTCTTTTAAGAAAGTGAAAAGATATACATGGACCACATTTTGTTAATCCGCTCATGAATTGATGGGTACTTGGGTTGATGGAATATTACTCAGACATAAAAAGGGATGAATTAATGCCTTTTGCAGCAACTTGGAAGGAATTGGCGACCATTATCCTAAGTAAAGTATCTCGACAATGGAAAAACAAGCACCACATGTACTCTCTAATAACTGATGGGCATAGAAGGACACAAAAGAAAGTAAAGTCATTGGAAATCAAGCAGGGAGCAGGGAGGAGGAGGAGAAGGGCAAAAACCCACCTAATGGGTACAGTGAACACTATTTGGGTGAAGGACACATTTATAGCCCTGACTCAAGCCAATATCAAAAAATCTGTACCCCCCCTAATATCTTCAAATAAAATCAATAAAAAAGTAAAGTGAAAAGATGAACGGAGAAGTAACAGGACCTCAGAAGCAAGCTTTGATCTCCCATGACTAACAAAGATCTCAGTTGCCTTTACCACCTATTTCACAAACAAATTTCTTTACTGTCTTCTAACTATGATACTCCTCTGCAATCTTTAAGTCATATAAGTAATTTCATTAATTCATCCATCCATGCCTGTATCAATTCATCCATCTATTTATGTAGCTATTTGGTTGTTTTGTAAGTATTTATTGATTCTACTAGAGCTAGACATTGTGCACAATCCTAGAGATAGAATGGTCAAATAAATAGAAACAGATGTGCACTAAAAGGTTTTGTGTTTCTGTGGGTGTGAGAACAGACATAAAAATAAGCAATAAAAATAGACTAGCCAAACATGATTATTGGAGAAGTTCTGAATGCTCTGGGAGTATATAAGATGGGCACGTCATCCAGACCAGTGACCTCGGAAAGGCAATTTTGGGGAAAGCAAAATGTAATGAAGCTCTGCAGAATGAGTGTTAGTTAGCCAGAGGAAGAAGGAGATAACAAGAGCATTCTAAGCACAGGAATGACATATGCAAAGACCTAGGAAGTGAGAACAATCATGGCCTATTTGGTAAAATGAAACATTTGGTAGAGAGTGAATACCTGTGCACCTAGAGAGTTGTTAAAGAAATCCGGCTTCGAATCAGAAAAGAACTTGACACTATTAAGCTATTTGGGGGAGTAATTAGTGGATTGGCTTCAGCTTTGTTTCCCGGGAAAATCACTTTTACTGAACTTTGGAGACCCACTGGAAGGAGGCAATCCAGGAGGCAGGAAGACCAGTGGGAGTTGGTGTGATGATGCGGGTGAGAGCCGATGGTATTTTGAACTAGAGTATGGTGGGATTTGGAAAGAGGTCACAGATTTATATCATATTTAAGAAGTAATGTTATAATATTCAGTGAATGTATGGATGTGAGGAATAAAGGAAAATGAAACTCTTAATTTTCTTGGCTTGTCATTGAGGGAATTGGATTGCCTTTAAGCTGGGCAGGTGAAACTGAGATTAGGCAGAGCAGAAGGACAGAGGGCTGAGAGTTGGGAAGTTAAAGAGTGTAGTTTTTGAAAGTGCTTGTGGGATATTCAAGTATTAACATTCATGGGCAGTTTAACTTTTGAATCTAGAGCTTAGAGCAATGTGGATCTAATAGGAATAGAACATGAGCCTCCTATGTAATATTCAATTTTCTAGTAGCCACATCAAAAAATAAAGCAAACAGATTAAATTAATTTTAATAATGTCTTTTATTTAATGCAATATATCTAAATTATGATAATTTCAATATTTAGTCAATATGAAATTGTTAAGGAGAACTTTTAAATTCTTTTTTTCATATTTAGTCTACAGTCTGGTTTGGATTTTACATTTACAACATAGATCAATTTAGGCTTGGCCATATTTCAAGAGTTCAATAGTCCCCTGTGGCTAATGGCCACAATATTGGACATAACAGGCTTGGAGCAATGTTTTCCAAATTATGGGTCATCATCTATAGTGAGTTATGATATCATGACCTGTGGGTCATAACCAGGATTTTAAAAAATGAAATATAATATAATAAAATATAAAATGTAGTGCATCAGACAGAATTTAGTACTAATTTAGGAAATATCCGTTTCATATATATCCAGCATAGACTGTTGGCTGCTTTCTTTTATCACTTCTCCAATTCTGCTTTTAATAATAGAACTTATGAATTCTGGTTGCAGACTGCCTGGTTAATGACTTTTATTTCCTGGCCTTCTCCCTTGAAGCTGAGTATGGCATGTGACTATGTTCTGGGGATTAGAGTGTGCATGGAAGTGCTATATGCCACTTTTATTTCATGACTTATGAAGGAAGAGTAAAGTTCTGTGCTTCCCTTTCTTCCTTCCCCTGCTGGAATGTGGACATGGTGACTGTAGACAGAGCTTCTATCACAGAGCATACGATGGAAGCCCCGTGCCACGGAGGGAGAGCAACAAGCAAGTCAGAAAAGGCTCCTTTAGCTTGGACTTCCATGTCAGACAGACATACGTTCTCTTAATCAAGCCTTTACATTTGAGGCCTGTTTGTTATAGCACTGAACCCTACTTCATACCTTTTTCTTTATCACTATTTCTATCTCAATCCTCTCTGTCCTTAACTCTGAATGTTCTGGGTCACAATGTAGCAGTTACATTGTGAAAATATGATTACAGTGTTACATGTGAACTGCCTGCTAAAAATGTACAAAATTTCTTATTGTAGGTTAAAGCTAAAACAGTCTGAATGCCACTAGTTTGCTGAGATCTGGTCTACTTATACAGACTAGTGATTTATCAGTTTATTGGGAGAGCTGATTTCATGGAAATGAATAATAATACCCAAGTAGAATATATTGATGAAAAGAGAAAAGACCTCTAGAAAGATTCGCAGGGAACACCGTCGTCTAGATGATGATCAGGGTACCCAAAGAAGTTCAGTGGTACCCGAAGAAGAAGGGCCCAGAGAAGGAGAAACACAAGCAGTAGACTGTGGGGTCTTTGAGTCTCAGGGAAGGGGTCATTTTAATAAAGGGATAGTCAACAGAACATTTTTCCTAGTTCAGAGTACTTATGACTTTATACCAAGGTATCAGTGTTTATCGCATACAAAATTTTAAACAATTACAAATGATTACATCATTTTGGAATGTATTGATTCAAAATATAACAGAATTTAAATTGTTTTTAAGAAGGGAGAAATAACTAAACCCTTACTTGCAAGATTAATTACTTAAAAGAATACGGGGAGATTAAATTTAATTATCATTCATCTGATGCCTCCTCAACATACAAATATCGTGGAACTCGGGATTAATATATCCGATCTTTATATTACTGACAAATTCCATGGCTTTTCACCTCACATGCCACTGTGAAATCAGGTTAAACGCTCTAAGACTGCTTATGACTTGCAATGAACCATCAACTAGCAGACTTTAGAATTGCCAAATCTACTGATGCATGGATTTAGGGACAAGCCAAGCAAGTGTTGGGGAGGGCGAAGCATTCGTTATACATGAGTCTATAGTCATTATGTGAGACCTTGGAACCGCATACTGTTATCCAGAGGATTTTGTGAATGTAGAGAAAGGCAGAGAATAGAGAAATGCTCTTGGCCCATTACAGGAGGCCGTTGACTATGGAGTAGAGATGTCATTGGAAGGAATATAAGGATATGGAAAGCTCTTTATTAAGAGGAGAGATGATTTGGACAATATAAATTGAGATACATATTTATTCTCTTTTAAGAGAAGTAATGCGTCTTCTATAGATCCTGTGCATTGCGTTTTCAGTGGGTGATCGAACGAGATGCCTGGAGGGCGATTGCTCTGGACTGCTCTGTTTAAGACAAAGCATGCCTGTAGCCACAGTGCACATAATATTAGAGGTATCGATCATGTTGATATATTAAAAGAACATAGGAATGTACATGAACTCACGCCATCTGTCTTTCTCTCATATTAGAAAACACTAGATGCATAAAGAGGAAAGTGTTATTAAAATCCGCCATACCGCCTCCACTCGTATCTCTTTAGTGGGAGAGAGGGATTACATCTATGCTTAGAGAGATTGAAGAAAAGGATGACTGAGTGATGCCTTACAAATTTTATTCTTCTCAAGACCCACCGCAAACAAAATGCTTCACTTCCATGGCATGTCGATGGAAAGGGAAGAAATACATTCTTATGCGCCTGCCATTCAACAGCTGACTGGTCGGTTGCCAGACACCTGAGAGTTCTGGTTCTCTGACTTACGAAACCAGGGTCTCCTGGATGTTAAACCAGTCTCTGCTCTGCGTTCAGACCTCCTCGATGATCTGGAGTCAATATCAAGACACGACAAGTAGGTTATATGGAAAACAGTGCTGGTGACAGCGCGGTGTCACATCATCCTGCTTCCTTCACCTTCTGGTTCGCGCTGGTAGTTCATGCGCTACATATATCCCGAGTGTGATACTGCCCGCTCCTCGCCATAAGACAGAGCTTTAAAATCGC